ACCTTTTGCAGGAGACAGTCATCTGAGCCCAGATGTTCTCCTTGCTGGGGTTCAGGAGTCTGGGCCTCAGCTCCCTCTGTCCCCAGGAGTCCAGGCGTCTAGCTCTCTCCTGCCTCAGAGAATCCTGCCCCCAACTTCCTCTTCTTCCAGGAACCGGGGGATTCGGGGCCCCTGTGTGCTCTTGCTTCAGGACTCCAGGGGTCTGGGCCTCCTTCTTGTCCCCCATTATTCTGGCCTGGAGTTCTGAACCTTCAGCTAATTCTGCCTGATCACCCTGCACCTGCCCCCAGGGAGACACAGTAGTTCGGTCCCTTGCTCCCACCCCCCTCGCTAGGTGTCTGGGTCCCCAGAGCCTGTCTTTCTGTAACCCCAGCCCCGCTAGGGACCCAGAGAGAGGGCGTGGGGTAGCTCACACGAGAGGGCCAACAGCTGGAGGACCAGTACCAGGGCCATGGTGGGCAGGTCTGGCTGGAGCTGGAGCAGAAGGCAGGGCTCAGCCGGGCCCTCTCACCTCCCAGGAAGTGAGGCAATATGGGGGGCGGAGGACTGTGTCACAACCCCTTGGTACTGTGGGAAAAGTTGGATTGGGGCAGGCATAACTCGTGTTCATTAATTAAAGTTGAAAAACAATTAGCACCTGATCTGTGCCAGACCCTGCTGCGTGATTCTGGGGCACAGAGAGGAGTCAAGACCCGGCCGCTGCCTTCCAGCAGCTCCCAGTCTGATGGGAAGACAGGTGCGGACCAGGCCAGTTTAAAAATAAGTGATGTGCGCTGTGATGGAGATGGAGACCCCCCAGGGCACTGTGAGCGTCCACGGAAGACCCCTGTGATGAGAGTTAGGGTTTCAGGACGAACTGATTTTGAGCCGAGACCTCAAATGAAAACTCATTCGACCTCTCCCAGCCTCCACTTCCCATCTGTAAAATGGGCTTTCACAGGTAAACTATGAAATGAGGACTACTGCAGTCCGCCGTGGGTGAGCCGCAGCAGCAGGAGTGGGGAGGAGTTACTCCTCTAGAGCGATGTCTAGGCTGCGGGAGAGAAAAGAGGAAGCGGCAGGTGGCAGGTGTGCAAGACGGACGTCCCCTTAAAAGAGGAACGCCGCTTCCTTTCCTGCCGCCGCCACAGACTTCTGTTCTGCGCCAGTGCGCACGCGCGGAATCCAGGGCTCCTTGGGTATCGGGACCACAACTCCCAGAGTGCTCCGCGCCCTCGCCGCTGCCTTGGATCGCCGTTCTGGCCAGTGTGCACGCGCAGACTCAGACCGGGAGCAGGGACTACAATACCCAGGGTACTCCGCGCCCTCGCCGCCGCCGCCGCCGCCGAGACCAAGATGGCCGGGAGTAAGTTCTGGTGCAGCTG